ACCCCATTTTCCATGCACGAACGAATCATATCGAGATAGACTATCATTTCATCAGGGATCATATCCAGTCTAATGAAATTACATTACAATATTTCTCTTCGGAAGAGGCAATTAGCTAATATACTTAACCAAGGCACTTCCAGCTCTAAGATTTCACACATTCAGAAACAAACTAACAATATCACACCAGATATTATTGGTTTGTAGTTGCCTAAAACAGAGCCTAAATGAAGTCTAATTTATATATATGGGTCATTAGTTCAAAAGTTTAATAGACATATTTACCCTGTAATATCTTATTACTGCATGGTATGTTGTCTATATATAATTTTACATGAACGAAAAACATAGGAATATGAACTAGTATTTTTAAGTGTCATTTACATAAATAACATCCAATTCTTAAATATTTACATATCTAACACCTAAACTTTATTTGTTACATTTTGTCACCCAAATCTTCCATGTCACATCTATAATATTATTATTTTAACTTTCAAAAATGAAATGCATCTTTCATGCATAGATAAGGTGATGTGTAAAAATTAGTTATGTGCTAGATATGTAAATACATAGTAATTGAGTGGTATGTCAAAACAGCTCGTGTTCGGCTCGTTAAGAGGCTTGTGTTCTGCTTGTTCGCTAAGTTAACGAGCCGAACATGAACAAATATTTCTTCGTTCGTGCTTCGCTCGTTTTGGCTCGCAATACTACTTATCATATATATATATATATATATTGATGAGTAGTATTTTAAAAAAAATTAATTGACCACAAGGCTACAAAGATCTATAATTAATTAAAAATATTAATTAAGAAAATAGAAGAAAAATTATTAAATTAGATTCAAATGATGTTTTAATATAAACAATAATTTTTAAATATTGTCCAAACCCTTAACATCTTATGGCTAAGTGATTAAGGTTGTCAGAACGACTTTTTGTTCGTGAACAACTCGTGTTCGACTCGCTAAGCAAACAAGCCGAACACAAACACAGCTTTTGAGCTCGAAATACACCCCTATATATCTAAAATTTTCAGTTTTTAATTAATTCGAATGGAATTTATTTTCAAAATTTAATTCTTGAAAATCAAATGAATATTTTATAGATATTTAATACATAAAATTTGTTATATTTTAGGCAATACATAATAAATGAGAATTGTTCTGGATATATGTAAATTATTCTTTATTTGGCTCTCTTTTTATTTATTTCTAAATAACTATTGGCTATGAGTCATATTTATTTGTTTGTCTTCTTGGGGTTTTCGTATTAAAATTTATCTCCTATGTTTTTCTCAGCATTTTAAAAATAAGTTCGACCGTGAACCTGTTGATGGTCTGATTCTGGTTGGACTGAAAACCAGCTCTCCATCTAACAAAAAAAAACCGAATGGAACCGGCGATCGAACTTGTTAGAACCGGTTATCAAACCGGTCAATTGGCTGGAATCGGAGGCCGAACCTGTCAACCGATTATAAGTATACTTTTTTTATCTTATGCCAAATTTTTATTGGAAATCATGATGAATGGTTCGAATCTTGTAATATCATGAAGAAAGTGACTTTGTACTAATTATTCCCAACTTCACTTTCTTCTTTAACTTCTGTGAAAGATGCATGACTATTAGTCTATTGTTTTTTCTTTTTTACATTTTTATTTTTTTTTTTGTTATGTTTCTCTCTTGTTGACCTTCCATACCGAGTTGCATCTAATTTTTATGCCATTTAAGTTATATTTAATATTTTCTTATATTTATGACGTCACTCGATTCAACTCTCAATCCAATCTTCGTTCAACAGTTGAACCTTAACCTCTTCGTCCGTCGGTTCAATGTCCGGTCTGATTTTCTAAAACAAATTTTCTCACATGTAACAATTATAACCATCA